AAGGGGACCTATTCGAGAGCAATGAAGCATTGATCTTTGCGGTGCGAGAATGGTCTATAAAAAATCGGGTCAAATTCAAGCCTGTAAAAACTAATGCAACCAACTACTATGTAAAATGTTATTTCAACGAGAAGAATGAAGTAGAGCATGCAAATGAGCAAGATGAGAGAAACAGGAAATGTCCTTGGTTGCTAAATGCCGCTGTGAGGAAATCAACAAATGGGCAATTTGTAATATCTAGATATTGCGAGCTTCATACATGTTACAATCCGTCGGTGGACGTCGATCATTATTTTGCATCTTCCTCTTATATATGTAAGCTAATTATGCCTAAAGTTAGAGCTGAACTTGATCTAAATGCAAGTCAGATATTTCAAAAGGTATATGATATGCGTGGCATTAAGATATCTAAATATAAGGCATATGATGCAAGGAGGAAAGCGTTGTCGAAAATATTTGAAGATTAGGAAAAATCTTATGAATTACTTCCACAGTATCTTGAAGCTATCAAGCAAAATAATCCGGGTATTGAATATGAAATATTGTCTGAAGAGATTGCACCGGGGATGGAGAGGTTCACTCGAGTATTTTGGGCATTTGGTCCGGCTATTAAGGGCTTCACTTTTTGTCGTCCGTTATTGAGCATTGACGGTACACATCTATATGGCAAGTACAAAGGCGTGCTTCTTGTGGCGACCGATGTAGATGCAAATGGCGGTTTATTTCCTCTAGCATTTGCAGTTGTGGAGGTAGAGGATACTTCTAGTTGAAAGTGGTTCTTTAAACTTATATACAAGTGGATTCCTAGTGTCCGTGCGCCCAGATTAATTACTTTTATCTCGAATAGGATGAAAAGAATTATAAGGGCATTACATGAGGGTTTTGGTGCACCACATCACCATCGATATTGTTTGAGGCATATAAGAGATAATTTCAAGAAAAAACACGGTGAGATTAATTTATAAAATCTTTTGTGGCAAACTGGATGTGCAACCGATACATTAGTGTATGAACATTGTAGAGAGAAGATCAAGTATTTGTCATTAGATGCACATAATTGGATTGAACATAACTTGAAGCCTCAATTCGAGCATCGATGGGTATTATGTAAGGATGAGGGTGTGCGGTTTTGCATGATGACAACTAATTGCTCCGAGAGCTTTAACGGCGTTCTTAAAGGAGCACGAGCTATGCCAATACAATCATTGGTTGCAAGAACGTTCTATAGGCTAAACTCATACTTCAACAAAAGGCGTGAGGACGGTGTAGACTGGACAACGCGTTACACACCAAAGAATGAGTCTATTTTGCATAGAAGAATTGAGGCGGCAAGATTATGTCAAATTACTGTATTCAATGACAATGAATGGCAGGTACAGGATTATAATGGTATCTACACCGTTAAACTGTTTGATGTTGATTGCACTTGCACATGTAACATACCACAACTTCAAAAAATACCTTGTGCACATGTTCTTGCGGCTTCCTCCAATCAGCCGGGTGGTGCGAGAATTCCATATAATCGGTATTGTTCACCATGGTATTCAACAATTCATTACCGAAAGACATACAGTGAGAGTTTTTATCCACCCGATGATAGTCGGTATTGGCCCGAATATATTGGACCATGACTAATTCCACCTCAATACAAGAGACAAGCATGTCGACCATGATCTGTACGAATTAGGGGAACCATGGATCAAGGACGAGAAGGAATTGTCAAGCATAAAAAATGTAGTCTTTGCAAACAACCGGGACATACTCGACCTCGTTGTCCAGCTAGACTCAATAGATAGCAATTAATTGGTAATAATTGACATATTCAAATTGTGATTTATTTTAATGTAGACAATATAATTAGTCATGGATCGGTTATTGATATGTTATAATTGTCTGTGCAGGTATATACACCATGGAGCCTGGACCGATTAGTGATGAGGTCCTATATGACCAGCCTCAACACCGTTCACATGTTATATCCTTTACAGAGGTAACTAAGTTTCTTATAATTTCAATATTGCATTCTTATAATATTGTATTCTTATATATTCATTTGCTTTACAGAGAGGCCCGGATATTGTTATGGTTGATCATAGCCTCAGCCATAGCCGTTGGCATTTAGAGGATGAGCGCATAATAGTAGCTGTAGGACAGGCCGGCTTCTTGACATGTTCAAAGCTTCGTTGGATGAGGCTCGATTGGTCCCTACTCACCGCTTTGATAGATAGGTGGAGGCCGGAGACCAACACTTTCCACTTCCGAATGGGAGAGTCTACTATTACGCTACAGGATGTAGCTATGATACTTGGTCTCCACATAGATGGTCTGTGCGTTACCGGCAGTGATAGACATTTTTGGCCGGACAGGTGTGAGGAGTTGTTAGGTGTAGCTCCAGAGTCAATGCATGGAGGAAATATTAAATTGAAGTGGCTAAAAGAGACCTTCTCGGTGCCGTTGCCTTTTGATGCGCCGCTAATATTGATTGAGCAACATGCACGTGCATACATTATGCACATGATCGGTTCAATATTATTTCCAGATTCGAGTAAAGATAAAGTGCATGCCAGGTATCATTTTTATCAGTATTTACAATTATGTCTGTTGATTTAGCTTATTTTGATAACAGAGTCAATGTTGTGAAAATGCTAGGTGGTTACCACTTATCGGGGACTTGGACACATGTGGTGCGTTATCGTGGGGTAGTGCGGTTTTGGCGTACCTATATAGAGAGATGTCTAAGGTTGCATTCATGAAAAATAGTGACCTCAAAGGGTGTCTTAGCTTACTACAAGTATGGGCATGGGGGAGGCTGCATTTGAAGCCGAGACTATGCGTGAATTTACAATTAGACGGACAAATTCCACTAGGATGCAGGTATTATATTTTTTAACGTAGTAAATATAATTGTAGTTATTCATTTGGTACTGAATTTTGAAACTAACACAGATGGAATGTCCAAAAATGTTTTGACGAGACCCCGGCTAGACAGTTAGATTTCTACCGAAATGAGCTTGACCGCATGAAGATTTTTCAGGTATCATTTCTATAAAAATGAGTTTTTTCTTCTATATATCAACTTTCATTTTAATGACATGCAACAATTATATGTAATACTCTGTAGATGGAATGGGAGCCCTACACCCCATTTCTCGATCATCTAGCCCCGATTTGCACAGAATACCCAGTTATATGGAGAGCCAGAGTTCCTCTAATATGTTTCGAGATAGTAGAAATGCATGTACCGGACCGCGTGCTTCGACAATTTGGTCTTGCACAACATGTTCCGCAATTTGTTGAAAAAATAGAGAGGAATGCGAAGAAATGAGGCCAACAAAAGGACTGGGTAGCTGAGCATCAAAATTATATACACAGATGGAATGATAGACATTTTTGTATTGTTGAGCAAATCGAGCCGAGCATCAAAATTATATACACAGATGGAATGATAGACATTTTTGTATTGTTGAGCAAATCGAGCCAACTACCGAGGAATCAGATTACTACACATGGTATTGGAGGATAACTAGAAGATGGATACTCCATGCGACCACATCCCCGGTTGAGTTGCAAAGAGGATATGTGCCTCGGGGTATAGATGAGAGAGAATTAGTAAGTATTTTCAAATTTATTCATTTTTATTAGTATTTTTCAATATTGCTAAATTATGTTTTTTTAAAAATTTGCAGGTATCAGCAATAGTTGATGTTCAAACCATTGCAAATAGTGGCTTGGAATTGGCTCATGCAGGTAATATAGAATTAAATATAAAATTTACATATTATAATTTGAATTTTACAGTAATTTTTGCATTTCGTATTTTTTTGAATTATCTCTCGCAGGTACATATCCCGAAGCACAGAAACATGCATCAATATATCAGTCGATAATGCAGAGGCTTCACCAAGCCTTACATCGAACTCATGAAGATCTTCATGATGGACGAGAGATAGCACAATTAGTATACACACGTCAACCACGACAAAGACGAGGACGACGCAGAAACGACAATGAAGCTGGGCCTTCCCAACGTGTTGACGACGGAGCTGGACCATCACAACCACAAACGCAACCGGATCATGAACTCATCGAAGGTCGGGATGGAGGAAGCCGAAGACAAAGGAGGAGGAGAAGAGTTCTTGGATGTATATAAGCTAATCGGTATTGTTATATAAATTACAATCCTATTTTGATATGTACATTACAAACGTATTTCAGGACAATAGATGGTTTTTGGATTTGTAGCGGAGACTGTGGTGTGACTTATTAGATTTGTAAGTGGGTTTGTGGCGTGATTTGTTGGATTTGGATTCGTAAGTTTGTGGTGTATTTTATGATTTTCAGATTTGATATATGTGTTTATACAGGGAATTAACATATGAGTTTGTATAGGGAATTAATATATGTGTTTATGCAATGGTGTAATTTATGATTGTTGCATTTGAAATGAGTTTGTACAGGGAATTTTCCCGCAGCAGAAATACATGCACATTATGTGCAGGAAATACACGGGACTGCTAGTCCCGTGTATTTCATTGTGCCCAGGAAGTGCACGGGACTAGCAGTCCCGTGCACTTGGTTCGTAGCTCTCTGTAAAGTGCACGGGACTGCTAGTCCCGTGCATTTCATTGTGTATTTTGAAATACACGGGACTAGCAGTCCCGTGTATGTCGTAAAAAATCCCTTACAGCAAAACCGACCCTTTTCAGAAGAAAATGGTCGGTTTTGCTGAATAAAATGAAATGAGGTCGATTTTGCTATTTAAAATGCTAAAAATGTTGATTTTGAAAATTTGTCCTTACTAATAATATTGGTGTCCAAACAGAACCTAAATTACTAATAATATTTTTGTCGCCGGATTGGGTTGTCGACTCATTTTCGTTCCAATTCCAAAACCCACTAACAATGTCGGGTTGTCGTTTTCCGCGCGCTTACCCTCTCGCATGAGCTGAACTGTGCCGGCCGAATCTTTCGGTATTAATTAACTAATAATTCGGGTATAATTCACAAGCTTGGTGTGGCGTCAGCCAGCCCAATCACTGCTCTTCCCTTTCTATCTCTCTCTGCTTTATTTCAGTTATTCTCTTCAATTTTTGTTCATAAATTATTCTGTGTGCTTTCTCACAACAGAAGCAGCAGATTCTTGAGGTTTGTTTCTCAACTTGACCTCTAATTCTTATTTTGTTTTATCCTACTCATCTGGGTTCTGAACCCAACTGAATAAAACCTAAACAACTTTCCTAATTTTATAGATTCTTTTTGTCTATTATACAAGAAATTTTCCTAATTTCTCATCGACCCACTAAGCAAATTCCAGTTTTTATCCTTCTATTGCGGGTTTAGTGATATTTTTCAGCTACAATTAGATACTGTACAAAGAAATTTCCCTAATTTGTCATTGGCCCATTTAACAAATTCCAATTCTGCTCCTTTTATTGCAGATTTAGTGATAATTGCAGCTACAATTAGCTACTAAACAAATAAATTTGTTAATATGAGCATTATTGGGTCAGTTTCTGCTGTGAGCGCAAGCAGCAGCATACAAAGAAGACAGTTTTCACAGAGTTGTAATGGTTTCCAAGGATTTACAAGGAGCGAATGTATGGGATTTCAATTACAAGCTCCAGTTTCATACTTGTCTAGAATTAGACCGAGCTCCAAAGTGGGCCCTTTGCAGGTGATTTGCTAGAATTGAATGTGTCTAATCAAAAATTTAACTTCTTCTTTATGAAATGTGATTTTCTGGGGGCGTAGTTTTTATGTGTTTTGTATTTTGATGCAGGTGGTTTGCAAGGATTACCCGAGGCCTGAACTTGAAAGTGCTGTAAATTTTTTGGAAGCTGCTCAGATGTCTGCATCTTTTCGCAGTAGTCCCCGTCCAGAGAAAGGGCTTAAGATTGTAATTGCTGGAGCAGGTAAACTACTTATTGCATTCTTCTGTAATTATCATATTTCCATTAGAATGGGTAAGCTAAAGAGAATTACATTACTCGACCCTCACTGTAACTTCGGAGTTTTGGTGTAATGGTTAGAGGAGCTAAATTTAAGATGGTATCAGAGCAACGCAGATTCAAATCCCACTAGGCCACGAATTTTAAGCAGATTTTCTAAAAATTGATAGCGTTGTGTGAGTCTAGGTTTCAGCCCATAAAAAAGGGCGTTCAACCTGCGGGGGTATGTTAGAATTAATATAAAACTATAATCCTCGACCCTCACCATAACTTTGGAGTTTTTATATAATGGTTAGAGGAGCTAAATTTAAGAATTACATTGACATGGTTGTGAACGTGAAAGTGTCGTATAGTTGAGAGGCCTAGAGAACCTACCTTGTCGATCACATAAATTGTGCTTTCGCAATAAAGGAAAAATACTTTAGATTTATCCTAGATGAAGAAGTTATCCTTACATTTGTTTATTTATATTTTCTGATTAGAATGTTACACAACAATTTAGACCATGGAATGATAAATCTACATTTTAAGAGTTAATTGCAGATAGACCCTTGTACTATAGTCCAATTGCAGATAGACTCCTTGTAGTTCTACTAGTGTAGATAAACCCCCTAAGTGAATTTTTTTTAAAGTAAAAAAAATCACTTAGGAAGTTTATCTGCACTTGGGCAATAGTACAGGGGTCTATTGTCACCAATAGAATAGAACTACAAGGAGTCTATCTGAATGATACTAAGGGGTTTTATCTGTAGTTAACCCATATTTAAATCAGTAATGTGCTTTTTGCTGTTACATTTAGACCTTCATATTACAATCGGCTTTGAGGAAATATTCTCAACTGTGTCACTTCTTTCTGAGCTGTTGGATTCTAATTTTTGCGGTGCTCATACTCTTTAAATGTGTCTGAAAAGTCTTGTTGTAATTCTTTGTATTATCATATTCTTGTAGGTTTGGCTGGATTGTGTACTGCAAAGTATCTTGCTGATGCTGGTCATAAACCCATTTTATTGGAGGCACGGGATGTTCTGGGAGGCAAGGTCTCTATGCTACTTTTTTCATCTTTTCCTTGACTTACTTTCATCTTAAGCTTATCATATTCTAGGAAGCTCTTTGCGTATTTGACTGTATTCATAGAACATGAAGGTTAAAGAAAATACATGCTTGTGCAATTGAATTCTTAAATTCCATAAGTTATTGGATTCCAAAGCTTCTGAAGATAACTAGACTTTAATTGCATGATACTTTTTAACACGATTTTTTGTGGAGATTAATAGCTTCTAAGATTTTTTTTTCGTCTGATACTAATGGTGTTTGCTTCTATTAATTGTTGATATCAAACTAGAACCTGATAGAAATATCGCGACCAATGCAATAGAAGTACCAATACTTAGATGTTAAAGCATAGTTCATTAGGTGTATAGGTAATGAAACAAGAAAATCCATGCTATGAGTCTTCACTGAAAGTTATATCCCAAAATATCATGCTATGGTAATTCCAGTTGTAGGAGAGTATTCTCTAAATGCCATATAATGTAAGTAGTTGAACATGCGAACTGTGTATTTATAATCATAAAACTCGTTTAAGTATATGTATCACTTTCCAAAAATACATCAGGAAGCAATTTTAAGCTGTTACCAAGCCAATGAAGTTATGTTGATATCCAACAAATCTTTGTGAAACACTTAAGTAGAATGACATGTGGAGTTAATTTCCTTGTGCAGATTGCCGCTTGGAAAGATAAGGATGGGGACTGGTACGAAACAGGCCTGCATATATTCTGTAAGTTTCACTGTTTGGAAATTATAAGAGAATTTAACTTTTTTACCCTTTCAGAATTGTGTGTTTGAGTATGAATTTTTTTTGTATTATTCATTTATTTGTTAGAATCTTTGTACTGTTTATAGCTTTCAGTAAGTCTATATGTATCCTCATACACCACTTTTTCATAGATTATTTGTTAGTAGAAATTGATAAAAAGCAATATGGTTTAGATGCATATTCATTTGTGTTGCTTGAAGACTGGTTTAGTGACAAAGCTGGCTTCTACATATGCACATATGATGGTTGCTCTTTTGAAATATTCATTCAAAGAGCTTGTACACATAATATTGTCTTTTATTTCTATGCATAAGAAGTTTGGGGCCGAGCTTCCAAATAAGATCTAAAATCATCAACGCATAGAAATATTATCAAAAAAACTTCATATTAATGATGTTCCTTCTCTGATACTGCAGTTTGCTTCCTAAATATGTTTTCCATCTCTATTTCAATCTCTTACTAAGTTTTATGGGTAAAGTTGGAGCATATCCCAACATGCAGAACTTGTTTGGTGAACTTGGAATTGATGATCGCCTACAGTGGAAAGAACATTCAATGATTTTTGCAATGCCAAATAAGCCAGGGGAATTTAGCCGCTTTGATTTTCCAGAGGTTCTTCCAGCACCCTTAAATGGTATGTAGTTATCTACTCAGCTTATGATCATCTTTTTATTTATTTATTTAATACTTTCCTCATGAACTGGTCAGTTATTCTCGTGAATGTGGATTTTTAATAGTGTATTCTGTCAATTAATTGCATCCTTCATGTTGATAATAAATAAATCAAAAGCTAAATAAAGCGGAACTATTTTGCGTAGGTTATGAAGATTCTTATCATAGGTTCATAATACTATTTTTCCTCACAACACAAGGAGGATAATGATATGGTATTGTGACTGTTGGTGCACATTTTGTAAAGTTTACAAAACTGGTCAAAGCAGTCTTAACATGTTCATTTTGTTAAGCGCCTAATTTCTGTTTGAAGTATACACTACTTCACTTATGAGTTATGCTTAATTACCTGAAGTTATTAATACTTCATGTCGGTTGAGTTCTTGAATGTCTGAAAATATACATGGAAAATTCCAATTTCCTAGTTTCACCAATGCTCAAATGGAGTTTTCTTTTAAGTCAGGAGGAACGAAAACATGGTGTAAAACATAATTTGACAAATCACTCTTACGAATTATTTTTCATCTCTTTCTTGATCTTATTCTCTCTCCAGAAACTCCTCTTGTTGAATAATTCCATTAACTTAACTTTTCTACTGTTGTTTATTGAAACCCTTCCATGATTTCAAATTTTCCTTAGTTTATTACTCATGTCCTTCCTTTTACACAAGTGAGCTTGAGAGGTTTAGGAATAGATGGTCATTCTAATATCTGTGGTACCTAGTATTTCTTGGACATGGTGCTCCTTATTTCCTTATTATATTATGATGTAGAGACAAATTTCCAGAGCTGACCAGTCCATTTTGTTGAAAGTTATCACTTTATTCTTTATTCCACTGTTATTTATTAACTAAAAAATATCATTGGCAGGAATATGGGCCATATTGAGGAACAATGAAATGCTGACGTGGCCTGAGAAAGTGCGATTCGCCATCGGACTTCTGCCAGCTATGGTTGGGGGACAGGCTTATGTTGAGGCTCAGGATGGGTTAACTGTTAAAGAGTGGATGAAAAGGCAGGTATGCTAGTTATATTGTTTTTTTAAGAGTCTATTACCTTGTTTTTTCTTGAGTTAATATATTTTTTAACATGTATAGTATGTAGAAGGCTTCATATGAACCAATAGATATTTAGGAACTATATCCGTCAATGCTAGTGACCTTTGAATTTATCATTCCCACACTTGGTGGTAGTGCTGTCACGAAAACAAACATGTACAATCCTCACTTCGTATAGAATCTATTACCTTGTTGTAGCTTCAAAGTTCAAATAACACTTAACTATAACATGTAAATGACCTCAATCAGAGAGTATACACACACAGACACACCAGTTGAGGATCATCATTGTGTCAGGATCATAATTGACTCTCTGCTTTGATCTAATTTGTTTCTTGTGCATTTCCTTATAAACCATGCTCTACTCTGAAACATCATTCATGTTTGCTTTGACAATGCATATTTTTTTTCAGAATCACATTAGCTGACTTTATCCACTCTCGCTGTGAAGCACAAATGAATCTCATGTGTTTCACTTGCCATTGCTTACAGGGTGTGCCTGATAGAGTAAATGATGAAGTGTTCATAGCAATGTCTAAAGCTCTTAACTTCATAAACCCAGATGAGCTTTCCATGCAGTGTATTCTGATTGCTCTAAACCGGTTTCTCCAGGTACAATTTTCTTTCTTGTGTATATGAAATAGTTGTATTGCCCATAATGATAGAATTGATTGATTTCTGCAACCATACCTTCAATGCAAAGACGAATGGCTGGGGGACAATTTCTCTTTTTACGTAAGGTATCTATTAGTGGTATTAATGATTCTAGAATCTGCACAAGCATCAGAGAAACAGAAAGATAGAATAAAAGCATTCATTTGTACTGACCGTCTATCTATCATCATGCCTATATGTACCAATAATTTTAAGATAAATTTCTTGATAATTCTCTGGCTGGAAATTGATTGATATCATAGAAATATTCTTTATTTATGACAGGAAAAACATGGGTCAAAAATGGCATTCTTGGATGGTAGCCCGACTGAGAGACTGTGTATGCCTATTGTTGATCACATTCAATCATTGGGTGGTCAGGTCCAACTTAATTCACGTTTGCAAAAGATTGAACTAAATTCTGATGGGACAGTGAAACATTTTGTGCTCGGAAATGGAAATATCATTACTGGAGATGCTTATGTAGTTGCTGCTCCTGGTATGCATTTGCTTGTGTTAGATTTCTTGACTTGTAAGCAGATTTTGTGGCATATCATATAATAACTTGCATTTGTATCAGTTGATATATTAAAGCTTCTTTTGCCTCAAGAATGGAGAGACATTTCTTACTTCAAGAAATTGGAAAAACTAGTGGGAGTCCCAGTGATTAACGTGCATATATGGTCAGTGTCTTAAAGTTTTTAGTCCTTATTATCTAGTTGTGCACGTTTGTATTAGCTTGATAAGAGTTGGAGGGATTTTTCTATACATTATAACTAGATATCCTGATTGCTCTTGTTTCTGTTTCTTTTCTCAGGTTTGACAGGAAACTGAAAAATACTTATGATCACCTCCTTTTCAGCAGGTTGTGCTAATACATTTTTCACTAAAATGACTTTGGAATTATATTCTTTTTTGTTTTTGATTAGATACTGGTTATATTTTATACATTTTTATGTGATACACAAACTCATAAGTTTGTCAACCATGATCCTTAATTGTATTCCTTTTACTCATATTTTATCCATCAGAATAAGTAATCTTGGAATCAAAGTATTGTCCTTTTACTCATTTTTTTTAATTTCCTTTTACTCTGTTCTTTTAGTTAAAAATCTTATGATTTAGTAAAAATTATGCACAAGTTGTAGCTCCTGATTCTGAGTCAGTATTTTTGCAGGAGTCCTCTTTTAAGTGTATATGCAGACATGTCTGTGACTTGCAAGGTAAGACTTTGTTACTTTAGTTATAAACACATGCAGTAAGCTGTCATATATGTTATTGGTCTTCCATTTTGAAATTATGTAAGTATAAAGACCCTCCGTCCTGCATTTTCATGCCTATCTCTTAGTTTTATGCTCTTACCTTTTCCTGTGAAACTTATGAACTCGTTCTTTTTTGCAATAAAACCTCCTCATTGTGATCTGTCATATTAACAAGGTAGCATATGCACTTAGCATGAGAGCTGCTCGGATTATTCAGTATTCTTTTTTTATTGCTAATCCACTCTGATGATAAAGACATTAGTTTAACTGTATTTCCTTTTGTATCTCTATCATATTGCCTGATATCTAAGTTGAAGTGCAAGAAGTTTATATTACCTTTTGGATGCAAATAATGTTTTGTTGGTTATGATATGATTATATTAACTACATGCAGGAATATTATGATCCTAACCGCTCTATGCTGGAGTTGGTTTTTGCCCCAGCAGACGAATGGATCTCGCGCAGTGACAGTGACATAATTGAGGCTACTATGAAGGAACTTGCCAAGCTATTCCCTGATGAAATTGCTGCAGATCAGAGTAAAGCTAAAATCCTCAAGTACCATGTAGTGAAAACGCCAAGGTGAGCTTGATAATCTAAAAAGAAAAAGGAAAAAAAATAGAACAGAACCATATTATTCTGTGAGAATACCCAATATGAGATACAAGGCTGCACACACACACCCAGAGTGCCCCACCACCAACCCCCCTCTATCTATCTATCTGTCTATGTGTGTGTGTGTGTGTGTGTGTGTGTATAGAGGTGAGCATGGTAATCTAAAAAGAAAAAAGGTAAAAAAAAATAGAACAGAACCATACTATTCTGACAAAAACAAGTGCACTCATTTTGAATTGTGATCTTGCATACTTCTACAGATCTGTCTACAAAACTGTGCCTGATTGTGAACCATGCCGCCCTTTGCAAAGATCGCCAATTGAAGGGTTCTATTTAGCTGGTGATTACACAAAGCAGAAATATTTAGCTTCGATGGAGGGAGCTGTTTTATCTGGAAAGCTTTGTGCGCAGGCTATTGTACAGGTTTGAAACTATTTAACCTTTGCAACAATGAATTGCTATATATTGACTGCTATTAGTAACAGGCACCGTATTCATTGAATATACTAATTGATTATGAGGCAAATAGTAACCACTAACCAGTAGTCAAATAGGTAATGATATGACAGAGTAACCAAACTTTTTGGTGATCATATATGTTATAATTGTCAATCTATGGAGCTCTATGCCAGTGCAACTTCTTAAGGTAACTAGCCATAAATAGATTGTTGGGTTTCTTTCAGATAACCACGCATTCGACACAAATATCTCAAATCTTTATTTTATTTAACCCCTTCACATCTTTATCTTCTCTTAAATATCCCCGAAAATTAAATGCCTTTCCTCCTACAATTTTCATTCCTCTAGTTTTGGCTTAAGGCTGAGAGGATTTTATTTTGAGAGTTATCTATAAAAAGAAAAGACATAAATATTTGAAAAGTTTATATCATATATTATGGTCTGAGGTGGAATCGCTTGGGGTGTATCAAAATAAAATAGAATGTACATTATGATCTACAGTTGGTATTTCTTAACTGAATCTAATTCCCATCAGACTTTTTTCCCTGAAATAATGTTTATCCTTATATTCAATTTTTAATTTCTATTACTGTATTTCACATTGTTGTTTACTTCAATATTTACTACAATTTCACACATGACAGAAGCTTTTACCCCACCAAACAAAAAAAAAATCTATCTCTTCAGGGCGGCTGATCTGTGATTTATTATTCTTCTTCGTTGTAACCTGCAGGATTATAACTTGCTTGCCGCTCGGAGCAATAACTCCCCTCAGGCAGAGATGATACCTGTCTAATCAGGGATCTGAATCGCAGTGCTGAAAAGTTTTCAGGGAAGGAAATTAATTGACCATCCTTTTTTCTTATAGAAGATGATCCCATTTGTAATTTACTGAACTCTTAAAAGTTTTGATTATTTCTTATGCTGTATACTCAAGTGGCTATTAGAAATGAAAAGGGTTAGACCCAGTGTTGTCCAAAAAATTTAACTTTGTTGAATTTCTCACAGTAACATTTACAAGAGTAGCAGAGAAACAATTATTCTTTGCATTCTTGGTCTATATGCAATAGATAATTTTTTTTTTCTTTTGTTCCATACCGAGTTAAGTTTGCTGAACTTTGGACCCTGCAAATAACATTATATAGAGCCTCAAAGGACCATATTTGCTCAATAGTGATGTTCTGTACAAGAGACTTGGGTAGTGATATCATCTTTGATCTCAGCATAAAACGTCTGCTAGCAGTTTATAACGGCGACTAACGACACTGGGTTTCCTCAACTGATTCCTATGGCAAGTTCTCACGGATGGCATCGATGAAGATGACTCATTTTTCTGCTGCCGACGTTGCTTCTTTGAAGTTACTGTTTTATTTTGGTCGTGAATGAAAACTTGCATCTCCCCTTTATCTCTTTGCCTCTTCTTCAACGAAGCGTTTGTAATGGTGGAATGGTGCTGTTGCTGTTGTTTCTGGTGATACTTGCTGTGTTTGTAAAGGCACCACTCGCATTGCCAGCTTGACATATTGATGTTTGGGTACACTCTGCTGCAGTATCTGAAACAGACCAAAAGTACTCGCCATCATTTTGGTCGAAATCAATACATATTTGCTTTAAAGGGGAAAACTTTGATTGTTTGCAGACTCATCATAAATCTTGAGTTACATGTATTGTGGGGATGCACCTCCTCCTAGTTTTACTCCTGTTTTACTCTTATTGGAATCACTTGATAATTGGAATCAAAGACATTTGTCAAGAGCATCACCATGTGACTCCCATGTTAGAAAACTATGAGGAAAATAATCTTATGTGGACCCAATTACGCTCAGAAGGATTCGTTCAAGTCATGAATCAAAGCATATTTAATCATATATCCATACAATCGCACTTTCAAGGAGGGATTAAAATATATCTCACATTTTTGCTAGACAAAGCCACAAATTGTGTTGTATATATGTAGTTGCTCCTAGTAGTTGTTTCTGCAAATCACCTTAAATCTATAAGGTAGTCTTGCACAGCCACATAGTGTGCAGCGGTGTCACATAACATCACTGGGTTGTCTACTTTATGCGCATACTTATGCTTATTTTTATATGTATTTATTATTTAGGACATTATTGAAATTATAGTACGGCAACACTAAAAGGGCTAAAATTGTAAAATTATCAACGTAAACTTGAGATACAACCATGATAAATTATATGGGGACACCACTGGCACAAAATCCTGGCTCCAACACAGTCTAGAGATGAAAGTTGTAATGCGCATAATAAGCAAATGAGAGAGCATTCGGAGTTCGGAAGTAACTTACGTGTGTTGTAATCTACTACAACTGCAACGGAGGAGACGATCGGAGAACCCCACGTCCCCACACAAGCAGCATCCATCATCCTCCTCTTTCTTCTCTTCACTTCCTTCCTCCATCTCTTGCTTCCTCTTGCTCTCAGCCTCCTATATAGTGGGCATAATATATACATGTGGTTTCAAGGACTAAGATGAAGAGAACAAGAGAGAGAGGCAAACTTAAGTCTTAAGTCTAACTGATAAGCTTGTCTAAATAAATAAAACAATGTGGACAGAAGAAAAAGAGTGATGAGAGAATAAAAAGAAAGAAAGCGTGGACCGGGGGGCGGGGAGAAATGTCTAAGTCTGGATCTGAACCTTTTCTCATTGAGATGTTGACTGACACAAGAAAAAGAGTCTGTCGCCGAGTAACGGGGACTTCCAGTTTTCCAATTTCCGCATACTTTTCTTTAGATTTAATTACATCTTGGTACCCTAAGATATGATACAATTGCACGGATGATCCTAGAGTGTATGTATCTGCACGGACGACAAAAGATTACTGCTTACAATTACAAGGGTGACCCCGGAGTCCAAGTGATAAGCTACTCCTAGAGTTATTCATGAACTAATTACAATTAGTAATCTCAGGGTCATCTGAGTAGATACGCAAACTCCAAGTCCAGCCATAGTTACATCATATTGCGAGTAATTATTGCAAATACTTTACTTTGGGCTACTTGCACATAGACCGTTTGCAGTATCGCAGTTTTGAACTTGATAACCCTGTATATGTTTCATTGTTGCAGATAGACCTCCTGATTTTTTATTTTTTCTTCTTTTTAACTCTTTTACCCTCAAATAGACTCGCTAACATCACCCAGGACAATATCCGCCTAAATTTCACCAAGGACAAAAGGTTAAGAGAAATTTAACCCCAGCCTATCTACAACAATGAAACTGCAGATGCGGTAAGTTTAGAACAACAACAGTACAGGGGCTTATGTGGAATTAATCCTGAACATCATATTGTGCCAATACCCACTTCCCCAACATGCGAGAATCTACAAAACTGTGTTGATTTCTATCTACGATAATAAAGTTGACCGTCAGCATAAATTGTTATATTGCAGCATAAATTGTTCCAGACCGAAGCTGAACTGCATTTAGAACTGCACTTGAAGTCTCGACTTTAAGCATCAATACAGATTACAGCTTTCCATCCCAAACACCCTAGATTTCCAATATTAGAAGAGTCGATGAGCCAATAACATCTTCCAAGCTTGTACCAAGATCGTCAGGGAATAATAATAATAATGTGGTAGCTACATTAATTACAACATCAGCAACTGAAAGAGTTTCTGTACATGGGAGCTCAGCAAATTATTGATTGCTAATGCATGTTAAATTACTGCAGCAACAAAATATAACAAAAATCAAAGGCTCTGCGACAATAATTTTGGCATGTCATTGACAACTAATAGCAAGCGCTCGCCTGTTGAATCATCAACAGAGAAGGGATTTGAAGAGAGAAGATTTAAGGTTCAATTCGCTAAACAACGGCGTTACTCTCTTCCATCTTCTTTACCATTTTATGCTGCAGCATGGCTGGAGCACAATCGATAGGTGTTTCCCCTGATTAAACATAAGAGAATCGTTAGAAAGGAATATAGTGGCATTAAGAAGGATTAATTGCAGACAGACCCCTGTACGATGAAGGAGCAGTCACGCATATCTTAAACT